AATTGTCAGACACAGAACAACTCACTGTTCCCCCGAGAAAAGGAATAAAAAGACAGAGCTTACATTGGGAAAAAAAGAGCACCAATGTCCTTAGGACAACCTTGCTGAGCATAACCCAAACTTTGTCTATGGATAGCATCAACATCAAGAATGTCACCTTGATGGATAAGAAATATGATGATACATCAGCACCAGTCTGCAAAGAGCTGCTGGCAGGGCTCTTATGAGCCAAGTTTAAACCCAATGATGCATATCTGAGTCTTTGGAGGATTGATGAGAGTAGCTGCTCTTAAAATCTAAGAACAAGAGAAATTGATGCATTAAAAGCTATATATTCCCCTCATCACACTAGTGCCTCTCACCATCATCCTCTGCTACTCCAAATTATAGTGTAATTACATTTTTAAATGACAATTCATAGTCCTTTAGGCTTCCCTGTGAGTAATTTATAGCAGGAGCTTTATGAGGAATACCTCCTGGACCCACCAATGCCTAAACCCAAACAAAATGGAGGGACATACTTTAAAAAATTAGGACATTGCAGACATATAGGTTGCTATTTTTCTAAATATTTCCTACTTATCATCTTCTAACAAGGATGCCATGTTATTTAGCTATTTTACTATTGCTATAATTTTCACACTAGAATATCTTTCAGCAACCAAAATACACACACAACACTACAGAGAGATGAAAATGTAAAAGATCAATATTCTCTTCCTTAGAATCTAATTAAAATAATCTAATTCAAATAAGAAAACAGAACAATAATGATCCCACTAAAATAGAAGGTACACACTAAAAACAAATACAGACATAAACACACACCCTGGAAAGAGGGATTGAGACACTCAGATATGGTCACAGAATAAATCTAAATCTTCTTATCTAACTAGGGAAAACTTTCATTGATAGAAGACTGGTCCTGAGGACAGAAAGCCTCAAGTTCAAATGTGGTCTCTGACATTTCATGGTTCTGTGACCTTAGGCAAGTCACTTAAATTCTGTGCCTCCATTTCCTCATCTGTAAAAAGGGAATAACAAAAACTATCTACTTCATAGGGTCAGTGTCCCCCTACCTCACAAGGTTGTTGTGGGGAACAAATGAGATATGTGTAAAGTGCCTATAAACCTTCAAGCTTCTATTTAAATGCTAGGTATGATCATTATCATCATCTCAACTTTGATGTTTGCTACATCATCCCAACTTTGATTTGACCTTGGCTAAGTCATATAATTTAATGTCCCGGACCTTGGTTTTCTTATCTGTAAAAGGAGGTGTTATATTAAAAGTACTCTGAGTTCCCTATTGGCTCAAAAGCTAAGATCTGATGATGTACAGAGTGTCTAGGAGGCAGGAGTCCCTGAGAATGACTATATTAAAAAGCTGTATTACATAGACAGAGAAGAGGAATGTCTACACTGAGAATGAATCAGACTCACTGAAGTATAAATGTACATGCCTCATCTGTCTGGCCTAGACAATTCTTTAAGGGTAATCATGGAATCCAATTCTTTATTCAATAAACATTTATTAATACCCCACTACGTATCAGGAAATTTGGTATGAACTCAGTAGACAAAGACAAATAGAAGCACTTCCTGCTTTCAAAGGAGCTCACAGTCTACTGGAGGAAAAAATAAGTATATACAAAATAAATAAATAGTATGCCTAGTAATAGGCAGAAGATGGACAAAATATCTGGTAACTGTGAATGCTTTAAAAACAAAGAAGGAAAATATGCATAGAGTAGATGATTTATAAATATGTAACTTAATTTAGCATCTGCCTGATTCAAGCAAGGTTTAGCTTTTTCTTCTATAAAATGTGGGGTCTGACCTATATATTCAAATATTTCAGCTCAAAATCGCATGATGCTAAATATACAAGTGGCTCATAGTTAGTATCTCCTTAAGAAATTAAACAGTTAGTGAAACTCTCCTTAAGCATTTCTTCACAAATTTACAAGAAAAAAGTTAAAAGTTGGCACTCTCTGAAACAATCCAATATATTTCACGATTCCTACAGTCCCACCCATGTCAAAATTTACTCTATATTCACTTATAATAAGGACCCTAGTTGGACCAAGCACTTTCCTTTTTTGCCCTTCACAATTCATTTTTAATGAACCACACTGGCAATAACTTAAACTAAATAATCTAATAATCTAAAATTAGGCTTAGATCAGGGGTTCTTAATTCTTTTTGTGACATGAACTCATGGGTAGTGCTTGTAAATATTTAACAACCGGCTTTCTGGGAGGAAATTTATGCACAATACACCTTTAGGCTTACTGTGGGTTGTTACCATTTTCTCCATCCCTTTCTCAAGTCTTGACAATCAACAAAACAATAAATCAAACCCTAATTTGTAGCATTTGCTGATTTCTGAGGTATAAATGTTCATCCTAAAAATTTAACAATTAGTTTTTGTGAGCCAGTTCAAGCTGGCTCCAGCATACTTTTGCATGCACCACTTTGGCAGGCTGGTAAAGTCTATGGACCCTCTCTCAGAATAATATTTTTAAATGCATAAAATAAAATAGATAGGATTATAAAGGCAACTGATTGAAATGCAGTTATCAAAATATTTAAAAAAGATAAATTCATGGAACCTAGGCTAAGGACCTATGGATTAAAGTGTTCCTACTGAACAGAGAAGAGATAAATATGGCAAACACAATCATTACTAAGAAACAAGAGCAAAAAAGTATAAAATAAGAGAGGAAAAGAGTAACAATTAGGCAGAAGGATTTTACACAAATTTTCGAGTGGCGAATAACTCCATCTAAGTAAAACAAACTCCTACTTAACACAAGCAACAATGATCACCACCTGGTTAATGATGTCTTTGTTTTGGCTGAATGGAAGGAGTGACCCTCCTGACAAGCTAAGACAGTACAATAATAATCTGATAACATAGGAAGGGGTTTGTTTTGGCAGACTTTGGGTGGTAGGAAATAAGATAAGCTCTTTTCTTTTAGGGACAAAGTAGGGGTTAGCAATCACCATGTATACACACGCACACACATACAGATACATATATACACACACATATATGTATATGTGTGTATATTTATATATATACATATATGGCAATTTATTTTTATGCAACTGTTTCCTTTGTAATCCTGTATCTTTTATTGTAGGTATTTGAAAATATTCTTCTGAGAAGGGGCTTCATCAAACTGCAAAAACATTAAGAAATATTCCTCCAGCCTAAGTAGCAAAGGCTGCACCCAGGATTTCCTCTCACCATTCCCAACAAGAATGAAAAATTAGTTTTGTAGAGATGTGCTATTTATAAATTTTATATGTATATTCAAATTTCTCAAAATCTAAAAGATTCACAAGTACTTCTTATTATTAATAACAATTTCCATTGACAGAACATTCTATATTTGACAAAGTACTTGTATCACAACAACCCTGTGATAAAGGGTGTATATTGTCATTCCAATTTTATATATTAGGAAACTGAGGTTCAAAGTGTTGGAAATGGAAATTAATCTGGAGGGAAGAGCAGTCTTCTGATCCAAGTCTAGCGTTCTTTCTACTGTAACTCTCTACTTGTAACACATTTCATGATTTTATCACACAAGGCACTTATGGGCAAATGGGTTGGGAAATTAGTTTTCCCCTATGATATTTATATGTGTCTATGAGGAAGGGAAGGGACAACTTGGTGGCTTGGTGGATAGAGTACAGCAGAGATGTCAAATTTGTGGCCTGGTCAAAAGTGAGTGCCTGAACAAGATTAGAATGCAATTGGGGGGCAGCTAGGTGACATAGTGGATAGAGCACTGGCCCTGGAGTCATAAGGACCTGAGTTGAAATCCAGCCTCAGACACTTACTAGTGGTGTGATGCTGGGTAAGTCACTTAACCCTGAGGGCCTCCCCTACAAAAAAATATAAATGTAATTGGGAAATGTTTAACAAAATTTTTAAAAATGCAATACAACAAAGATATTGTTAATTTGTGGTTTTCTGAGTCAAGAGGTGGCACACAGGGATTTCTTTCTATTTGATTTTGACACCACTGTAGTATAGAACTTGAAATCATGAAGACCAGGATTCAAATCTTACTTCAGACACTTCCTAGCTATGTTGCTCTGACTTAAATACTTGGTGCCTCTGTTTCTTCATCTAAAAAGTGAGCCTAAAATTGAGCACCTACTGCATAGAGTTGTAAGAATTAAATAAAAATCTATTTAAAGTTCTTTGCAAACCAAAAAGTGTTATACAAATTCTAGTTATTTTAAGTATCTGAGACCAGATTTAAACTCAGGTCTTCCTGATTCTAGGCACAGTGTTCCATCCACTGCAGCACCTAATTGACATAAAATGGTTAGGGAAAAAAGTAATACATTTTAGCTACATTACTGGTTAACAAGGTTTTTGTGGGCTAGCCTTGGAACCTAGACATCACTATAGGAAAATGCAGTACTATTTATAACTGAGCTCTGGAGACTGGAAATATATCCATCTACTATAACCATGGCAGCTGGTGTGAAGTAAGAATGGAATTTGTGGATTAGGGCAGCATGTGCACATGTACACACACACACACACACACACACACACACACACACACACCCTCAGAAAACTATTTTATTAGGTTCCTTCAAAAGGAAAAATTCGTTCTTAAGTTTAGGGTCTTAGTTGCCACTACACTGCATAGCTTTTTTAATTATAAAGAAGGTGGTGATTTAAAACCAAACCATAGACACCATCCACTACCATCAAACTAATATATAAATGAATGAGTAAACACTTGGTAAGTTGTCACAAAAAACATTGTAAGTGAACATCCACTTTAAAGAAAATTGAATCTTTGTAAGCTTTTGATAACCAAAAGGCAATGCTTAGGGAGGTCCTAGGACTAACCTGATTACCACCAAACAGGGACTTTCCGGGGAGAATGGGTACTCCAATGATGTACCAATAGAGAACTACAGCTACGGAAAAGCAATTCAGGGATAAATTGAGACATACTCACCTATGGTCAAGGTGGCTGAAGTCTTGCAAATTCAGCTCCCGAGTGTCTTGTGTCAGATAAATAGTATCCACATCCTATAAGAAATATATGCTGTTATGGACAGTTCATATGTATAATCAGGGAAACAAAATTTTTAAAAGAAATGAACAGTTTTAATTGGCTAATCAACCCTAGGAAATTTGAAAAGTTTCACACAGTGCAAGGAAAGATGCCACTATCAAGTAACATACAAGGGAAAAAGCAGCTGAGGAAACAGCTATTTAACCTACCCTCTAGTCTAGATGAGGGATTCTTAACCTTTTAAAGTCATGGACCCCTTTGGCAATCTGGTGAAGCCTATGGACACTTTCTCAGAATAATTTTTTTTAAATGATAAAATAAAATAACAAAGGAAATCAATTGTAACAAAATAAAATTGTCAATTTTTTTTTTTACACCACAAGTTCACAGAAACTAAGTTAAGAATCCCTGCTCTAGATAAAATTTGGAAAGATGGACTCACCCACTGTACCTCCTCTCTGTACGGAAATCCAAGCCAGTCACAAACACAGGCATACATCTGAGAAAATCCTCCTAAAACAGTCAATTGAAGACTAGTTAAAATCATAGCTTCACTGTCATTAAACAATACAATTTAAAAATTTTTAAATCTTAAACATTTAAAGAGCTTTCTGTGTTTAGAAGCTTTTAGACTAGGAAAACAGAGCCAAGATAATGCCACATATGTCAAAGTAAATACAGAGTAAGATGCAATGAGGCTTAAATATAGGATTTTTATCCACCAATCAAGGGCCCACTCTGACTTAATTAAAAGTTAAAACTAATTGCACCTTTACAGCAACCTGCTAGGAATAGAATTCAACTTCCTGGCATGAAGAATTCTACCTAAGATTAATATTTCAAATTTGAATGTCCACTTACCACAAGGCCCTAGTTCTGCCACAGTCTGGCTGTCCCACAGTGCCTGGAGATTGGTAAGTCTTTCAGAGGGCTCCATAGCAATTTTTTTCATAATTCTCCTAAAAGACAAAGTTAAAGAACATAATAAGCCAGATTTCCTAAACAATTTTCAAAAAAGTGTATTTTATGGAAATGTACCATACTTTCTTCAACAGATGTATTCCTGAAAAGTTTTCTATACCCTGAGCTTTCCTAAGCTGAATTCTATTTTTATGTCTGCTAACAAAACTATTTTCAGAAATCTAGTAGAAAATTAAATCCTAAAGTTAAGAGTTCTATTTGTAAGATAATTAGCTCTAATTTACTTGTTTGGGTTGTCACATGAGGAATGACTAAGACAAAGAAGTGAAATATTCTGACTAACTGAATCTTCTGGATAAAAGATAGAAAGGCATGAGGTAGCAAATTATGGGGAAAGGAATATAGATACAGGGAGGACCCCTGCTATAGAAAGGTGGGCCCGGAATGAGGAGGCCTAGGCCTCTGACGCTTGGCTGTGTGGTCCTGGGCATGTCTTGTGACTGTTCTTTGTCTCAACTACCTCATCTATAAAATTAGGATAAAAAAACTTCATTATCTGTCTTTCCAGGTTATTGTGTAAAAAATTTTGCAGACCCTTGCAGATATAAGGTTGCACTATCATTACACATGGATTATCAATTTTCAAAGAATTAGAATATGATACATTTTACCATTGTCATTTTTGTCTTTATACTTAGCAATACGTATGGTGAGGGGAAGGGATTAAGTATTTATACCGTACCTACTATCTGCCAGGCACTGTGCTAAGGGCTTTACTAATATCTCATTTGATCCTCACAAAAAACCTGGGAGTCAGGTGATATTATCTCCACTTCACATCTGAGGAAACTGAGGCAAACTGAGGTAAAGTGACTTGCCCAAGGTCACACAGCTAGTAAGTATCTGAGGTCAGATTTGATCTCAGGCTGCCTGATTGTAGGCCCAGCACTCTATCCACTGAACCACCTAGCTGCACATTAGCACATTGTTTGGCTTATAGTAGGCACTTAAAAATACCTATAGGATTCAAAAGTGCATTATTCTGATAGTATTCAAGTTTCTCATAGCACACTGGAGATAACATCATCAAAATCAATCATCTCTGTGGATTATTGCAAAATAATCTTTAAAAATTCTAGTTATCTCTACTTTGTAGTTGTTTGGATTCTTAGATAATCCTACATGAAAAGAAGTAGGTGGCATTCATTGTGCGATGACGGACTTTGATAGACTTAGCTCTTTTCAGCAATTCAACTAAGACAATTCCAAAAGAGTCATGATAGAAAATGCTATCCACATCCAGGGAGAGAATTTTGGAGTCTGAATGTAGATGATAACATACTATTTGCTCTCCATTTCTTTTGTTGTTTTGTTTTGCTTCTTCTTTCAAGTGGTTCCTCCTATTAGTTCTAATTCTTCTTTACATCATGACTAATGTGAAAAAATGTTTAATATGAATGTGTAAGTAGAGGCTATATCAGATTGTATAGCGTATTGGGGAGGGTGGAGGAGAGGGAGGGGAAGAAAATTTAAAACTCAAAATCTTATAAAAGTGAATGCTGAAAACTAAAAATAAATAAATTATTTTAAATACAGAAAGGAGTAGCACCAGGAAAAACAATAATGATAATAATAATGATAATGATAATAATAAAGTATAGGGCATCGTAGACAGTATGATGAATTTGGAGTCAAGAGTACCCAAATTCAAGACCTGCCTCAGACTCCTACTGAAAAGGTAACTTAACCTGAAGCAGGTGACTTAACATCTCTGAGTCTCAGTTTCCTTAACTGTAAAATAAGGAGACTAGATCGCCTCCAAGTCTGTTCCAATTCTAATGGCATAGCATTAGATTTCCTTAAGGCTGACCATACACATGGAATGTATTTAATGATTCACTTAGAAGGAAAAGAGAAGAAGAAAAGAATAAGCAAAGAAGCAAATGAGCATTTATATAGTGCCGACTAAGTACCAGGCACTATGCTAAGTCCTTTTACAAATACTATCTCAATTATTCCTCACAACAACCATATGAGGTAGATGCTATTATTATCTCCATTTTACACTTCAAGAAACTGAGGCCGACAGGTTAAGAGACTTCTCCAAGGTCACACAGCTAACAGATGCCTGAATCTGGATTTGAATTCAAGTCTTCCTGACTCCAGGTCCTGTGAACAAATTTATTTTACCCTTGAAAGGAAACCTCAAAAATGTTGTGCTAATTATATAAAAAATGTATCTTTTACAACCGTTTTTCTTAACATTTTCAAAGATAATAATGTTCAAAGACTTATCAATGCAGTTTTTACTCCAGTCATTTCCAGATATACTTTCTCCTTTGTAACAAAGAAAAGCAGCTGAGCAAAAGAAACAGACAAGATGACCCAATTTGACAGTATATGTGACATTCTGTGCCCTTACTCACTCCTCCTACCTATGCATCTAACAAAAGGAAGGAAGCGTGGCCCAAAATTGGTCAATGAACTTAATCTGTTTGACTATCATTATACTTATTCTCATTATTGTGAGCTCTTCCATTTTGGCTTACTTTATTCAGTATCACTTCACACAACTCTTGCTAAATTTCTCTTAATTCCCAATCTCATAATGGAAGCACAAATTTGTCACCAGCTCACAAAGCAAAGGGATAGCCCAGTTTTAGGGTACAATTCACAGATTTACTTCTCAGTCTCATATTCAGTCTACTGAGCATAATGCCTTCCTAAAAGTATTTTCCTTTATTGTCTCCATGGAAATACTTGAGGTTTACTGGGTTAGCCAAAATTTTCTAAAAACCATGTATAAAAGGGAGCTAGGTGGCACAATGGATAGAGCAACAGCCCTGGAGTCAGGAGGACCTAAGTTCAAATCCAGCTTCAGACACTTACTAGGTGTGGGACTCTGGGCAAATCACTTAACTCAGACTGCAGGAAAAAAAAATTTAAAAATACAAAATAAAATAAATATCATATATAAGGACCTAGAATCCTACCACTGCAGGGAGCCTTGATTATGGAAACATGGATTTGAAAGGATATTTGCAACCTCAATAATGTGATAGAATGCAGCCATGTGGAATGTTAACCAAATCCAACCCCTGATCTACTACTAAACCAAAAGTCCTTGCTCAGCACCATCCCTCTAGCATTTTGGTGGAGTCACGGCCTTGTTCTAGGAATGAATGAAAGCAAATGATTAAGTGAAGCCAGGGCACTAAAAAGGAATAGTAGTCTACCAAGGGGCAATCCAGGGTATTTCTGTATTTATGGTAAGTAAAGCAACTGACCGTTCATTCCCTTCTACACAGCAGTTTTAACTAAATTCTTTGTTTCTCTTTTACAGTTCTTGCCTACATGAAAAACAAGGGTTGAAGGGTATATAAGAAAGCTATTGATTGCACGCTGTCTTGTGGGAGGGAGGAGGAGATGGAGGAAGTAAATGTTGAAAACTAAAAATAAATTAATTATTAAAAAAAAAAGAAAGAAAGCTATTGAAGAAAACTAAGAAAGAAAACCAATAGCCTTTCGGTTAGGGGATTTGAAAGAGTTGGGTGCATAGCAGTCTGAGGTGGTAGCGAAAACAAACCCACTGTGCAATTATTCAGGTTCTTAAATCTCATCATCACTATTTCCTAAATCCAATATTTGACACAGCACTGCCATGAGTTTTTGCCTATTCCTTCTCAAAAACCCAAACTCTGTAGTATCTACCATAGATCAAAGAGGATCAAAAGGAGGATGGGGACATGTCCATACTGTCAAGTGGTCTTTCCTTTGGTTAATCACTGTGTACGTTATTCTTTTGATTTTGCTCATTTTACTCTTCGTCAGTTTATAAACATCTTCCAATGTTTTTCTGCCTTCCTCATACACATTACTATTTATTTATTATATTTATCTAGTGTTTATTAGACAATAATCCATTACTCTCCTACACAGTTTGTTCAGTCATTCCCTAATTGGTGGGTATCTACTTTGTTTCTAATTCTTTGGAACCACAGAGCACTGCTATTAATATATGATATATATTAAACCTTTCTTTCTCGTTAACATTCCTGGGCTATATTCTGGGATTGATGGGTCAAAGGGTATAGACAGTTTAATCAACATTCCTTTCATAATTCGAAATGAATATCCAGAACAACTGAACTTACTAACAACTTCACCAACAATATATTAGAGCATCTATCTTTCTACAATTTTTCTACCATTGACTGTTCTCATTTTTTGTGTCATCACTACCAGTTTGCATCATGAGAAATGAAACTTCAGAATGGTTTTAATTTGCATTTTTCCTACCGAATGATTTAGAATATATTCTCATATTGTTATTTATGGTTTGCAATTCTTTTGAAAAGTGTTCAAATCCTTTGACCACTTCTACATTAGGAATGCTACCTGACCTCATAATGACATTTTAAGACTCAGAAAAACTTATACTTGGTCCTCAATTCCTTTAACTTCTATTTCTATACATGTTACCTCTAACCTGTGTAAAGTAATATATAATATACTTGTTATGAAAAACAAAGCTAACTCCATCACACTGCACTGATTTTAAATACGAAAACTGCTTCAGTCTGTCAAATGTGCTGTCAAACACAAATGACTTGTTACAGTGTCTATGGTCAATTAAGTCAAGTATGTTGAAAGCATAAGCAAAAATCCAGGCATAGTGCAAGAAAACTGCAGTGCAACCTAAAAAGTAGGCTATTCACCATATTTAATTAGGAAGAGCAAGCCCTGTAAAAGCAAGCACCTTAAATAGAATAACAACAAAAAAGAATAATTAGCAATGCCTGTGCTTCTGTTTACATTAGGAATAAGGTTTAGGTTAAAAAGAAGATAGGAGAAAAATAAAGAAATCAATGTGATTTAGAAAAAAAAAATAGAAGACCTAAAAAAGCAAGAAAACCTGCAAAGTGGCAATGTAATTGTAAGATAGAATACTATATTCCTTTCATATTAGGTGATATAGTGAAGAGAGCCCTGGGCCTGGAGTCAAGGACTCAGAGATTAAATCTGGCCTTAGGTATTT